TCATTATTGTGTACAGAAACAACTTTATGATAATCCTAGACCTGCTCCCGTACATCACCATCTCTCTCCAATGTAAGCTGATTATAAATACTTATAAATGTCATGAATGCATTAGAATCCTGTTAAACCCTTTGAAGTATGGAATGCCCATACATGTAGGGTAGACTATATTGAGAGTAGTGTTAGCTGGACTGTAGTTCATATAAAAACTGTTAGAAATAGCTAGCCAGTCACCTCTCAGACTATTGGTCTACAGAATAGTCAGAAAGTGGAGTGGAATAAGTTTACCTAATGTATTTATAAGTATTGTAAGGAGTTTATTTAGAGAGTATGAGTTGTAATAATGCATGATTGATGATGTCACTGGGAGAGTACAGACAAGAGGTATGGATTATAGTGAGACATCATTTGATGTCACACTCTCATTAATTGTTATGATAAGGCTTTCATAATGAACACACTAAGTTCATTTATTTGCATTTTTTTATATAAGATCGCAATTGATTGTTTAATGTAATACAATAGTGATTAAAAATCAGTTAAGAATAGGAAGTTCATGAGAAGTGAGAATAAGGTGTTAAAAAGATGTGAGTAGAGTCAAAACAATGGATAGGAATTTTTTATTTTCAAAAAATAAATTAAAATTATGATTGTTTGACCTAAATTTTTCAAATCATGAAAATCCAGTTTTGACCAGAATCAGCTCCACAACTAATTAAAGAACTTGTATATGTATCAGAAAATGTCCCAAAAAGCATGCTTTGCAAGCTAGGAGCATTATGCCAATCCTGTCGGAAACCCTTCCTTGTGCTGTGCTGTAGACCGTCACAAAAGAGTTAAAAGTTCACATTATAAAACTTAAATGATTAATTAATTATAATAAAAGAATAAAACAATTATACAAATCATAATATTTTGCAAGTAAAACAAAGCAGCAATTAATTATCAATATTAATATTAAAATCAAATCCCAGTTCATTTCTAATAGCTTCAATCCAGTCCTCACCTAAAGCTATTGCTGCATTTGCATAACTGCCTCTTACAGCAATGAATGAGCTTAAGAACTTTTGACAGTGCTCCTGCACTTGAGGTAACTTCCTCTTAAAACTAAGACTAGCCTTGAACTCAGTGATAAAGGCTTCCATTGAGCAAGTTCTTTTAACTTGTTCAGTAATGAGACCAACTGAAAATAACTGACTGGCAAGATCTGAGAGAGATGACGTAAGAGAATGGAGTGCAGCATCACGAGATACAAGAACATCATTAATGATTCTCTTCACTTTCTCAAGATCAACAGTAACTGGCACACCTAATAGAGGTCAAAGGTCAATATAACCCAATACACACAAACCATGCATAAACATACACACACTGTTACTTACTAGTTCCTCCAGTGGATGATGCAGTAGCTTCAGTAATTGTATTAGAAGAGGAGGACGAGGTAGTAGGATCTGATTAATATTAAATAAATAAACAATATTGAAGTGAGTTATTTATTACTTGTTGTTCTCAGTGATCTACGAATATGGAATGTAACTGGACGAACCACACCTACCAGTGGTACAGAGTAATTTAGTGTAGGAACAGCATCAGGTGATCCATACACTGATATTGGACAAGATGGAGGAAGAGGATAATCTTTATCACCAAAATTATTAATATCATCTTGATATAACTGAAAATAAAAGTAACAATGCTGTACAGTATACAGTATAATATACCCTGCAAGGTGTTACATGAGGTTCAATAGTCCATCCTTCATAAGACTTCATTTGTGGAGCATTTAAATCCAATTCAACAAAACCATTAGGAGATGCAATACGAAAGTAAACATAAGGTCCTCGTTTAGCTTGTGGGCATTCTTTCTTAATAAACTGTATAAATAACTAATAAATCATATGGTGATGAGTTATAGTGAATTACCTCAAGAAGTGCATTCAATTTCTTAGCTGAAGTGAATGTCACTAAATCCCCTTCATCGTGATCTTTCTCATAATAAACCAGTCCAGCATAATTTGTAGCTTCTTTTACACCAGTGGACTGTACTTCTATAGTAATACACACACACAATACAGTATAATATAATCAATATAGTTTATTCACTTACCATCTTTAGAATCAGACCCAGGTTTATCCAATACTTCAGTTTCATTCTTACTCTCAATTGCAGCAACAGGTGTGGCCAAGGGACTAGTAATTGATTCTGTACTAACCAGTATGCTATTCTCAGTTTGCTCCTTATCTTCCTTTCCTTTGGCTATTCCTACATGTATAGGATCTTCCTCTTGTCCTCCCTTTTGCTGTTGGAGTTCCAATGGTTCTGGTTGCTCTTGTGACTCCCTCACTCCTTCTTCTCCTTGTTGGTGTCCTCCTTTTCTTTGAAGGTCTCTTTCCTTTTGCTGTCCATCTTGTGACAGTGATTGGCCTCCATTTTGCAAGTGACCTTCTTGTTCCTGTTGTCCTTCTTGTGACTGCTCTCCTTGGGTTTGTGGGTTAACTACTGGTTGTTGTTGAGGGACTGGTGCATTTCCTCCCTGAGCTGGTATTACACCTGCTCCTTGAGATCCTGTTCCTTGTTGCTGCTGACCTCCTCCTCCTCCTCCTCCTTCTCCAGTCATAGATACTATTAGCAATCCCAGTATGCACACCAAACAGAAATCTTTACGCTCAATAAATCCATACCCACCATTAGAGCTAAACTCTCCTCCTTCTGCAAACTTGAACTGGTAAGGAAGACTGGGTGTGTTGACTGGAGCTATAGCAAACTTTAAGTATTGTGCAAGATCTGGTCGTCCTGTTAAATCAACGCAGTGCTGTATCTCTAACTTGAGTCGTTTGAGGAGAGGCTTTGAGAGTGATACTGCATACACAGCACTCACTAGGACAGTATTAGCAGGAAACTCGAACTGTCCTCCTACAAGAGCAACCACTGCTGCTTCTACTGTCTCAGAGGACAATAGGCTTCCTTCTTGTATTCCAATCCTTACACCATATTTCTCCCAATTCATCAGTTGAGGTTTGTCTCCTTGAATTAAGAACAGCTTCTTCTCTGCTACCTGGACATCACTCAGACATTCCAAATTATCTATCAATTGTATTCAATATACACTCAGTCAGTATAATAGTCTTACCCATTGAAGGGATCATGTAATCAAATTGCACTTCTTTGGTACTAGTCTCTTTGGTTTGACTCCATTGCTCCTTCTCCTTCATTAGTTTGGCAGTATACAACTCATTATCAGCAACTTTAGTTTGAAGTTCTAAATATTTTCTCATAAATATATACATTAATGTCAATACTCTAACCTTTAGTGAGCTGTTTTTCTTGGTGATATTGTTCCTCTACTTCTCCTTTCTCTTCCTCTACTTGTTTCTTCTCTTCTTCTATTTCAATTATATATACTTCATTATAAGCAACTGTAGCTCTAAGTTTCTCATTATCTTCTGCATTAATAGACTCATCTAATATTATGTACTGATGATACACTAACCAGTAATAATCTTTTTCTCTTGTAAAACCTTTTCCATTTTCTCTTTCATAATAACTAGTTGACTGCCATCAACTTTAGAGCCTGAAAAATTATAACATAGGAAGCCTAATGTCTTATTGCAATACCAATTTAACATAATTATAATGATACATAAGGCAATGTAATTTGCATCATATATGTACATGTATAATATTACACATATATACGTGTACATGTACCTTGCTTATTTGCCTCAACCAGTGCCTCCTGTAGTGATACTTTGTCCTGATAAAGCACTCGAACTTTGTCTTGCAAAAGTTGAATATACCTCTGAAGCTCCATTTCTTTCTCTGTGGGATGTTGTGTTAGCTGATCCATCCACCATGTTCTGGTCTTGCTGTATGATGAATACTTTTTTTGATAATTCTTTCTAGTGAGATCATTACCATCCAGTACTGACTGTACTATCCACTCACCAGCTTCACTATATACTGAAATAAGAAAAATTAATATCAGCACGTGTGATATCAATCCTCATTTACCTAACTCAATTATCATTACTAGTTTATTAGTATCACTGACTGGTACATGATTCATAAACCCTTCACATCCTCCAACCATTACTAGCCACACACAGTTTGGTGACATTGTGACTGCTGTGAGTGAGTGACTGTATCTACCAGTAACAGATTCAGGTAGAAGAATCTAAACATGCAAATATGAGAAATATTTCATTTGATATAACTGTATTGAGGCTGTTCAAAAATTAATTTCATTATCAAATTTTAGTAATAGAAATAATTTACATGTACACATACCTTCTTACAACTGAACTGACCAGTAGTGATATTATCAAATAATAAACATTCATTCATTGATTGTTTGGCAACCATATCCACTCCACCAATCACTACTAGTGCAGGTGAGGTAGAGACTCCATTGATAATAGCACTGGCATGGCTAATTCTCACAGGCCTGAGTCCCTCACCTGATATCAATCCACTTTTAATCATACTCTCCCAATGCTATAAATAAAACATATAGGTCATAAGTATCTAGCTGTGAATGTACATACAAAGATTAATTGCTTTGTTCACTATTATAAAAAAAATCAAACCGATATGAGTAATACGCATATATATGTGTAAACTGTACATGTACACAATATTAACTTACTATAATTGTATTTTGTGTCACAGTAAATATGTACACATCATCAGTTACTGTTCCTCCAACAATTATTCCTTTATTTTGATTTATTTTGTTGATTGTAAAACTATTAGTTGGTGGACAACACTGTCCACTGACAGATGGAACAGTGAATTGCCCTAAAAATATATAGTTTAAAGAGAATAGAAAAAACCAGTATACCAATTTATTTTTGTGGTGAAATATTTTTGCAATTACTACATTTCTAAGATTTTGCAGAAAACTTTTGCAAATGTTTGCAAACTGCACCACATGGCAATGAAGATGCCTAAACTTTGCAATTTTAATTTTCACAACTAAGTAAAAAAGCAAAAATATTTACCATGAAAAGCTAGATAAAATTACCGTTAGATAGATTATAAAGTAACTGTTCATTAGTAAAAGCAAGGTCATTCTTAGTATGACGATATTGAAACTGAGGATGTTTTAGAGCTGGTGTAGGACCCACCCCTCCGACCATAAAAAGATAGTCAGTTCCATCAAATTCCAGTGATACCATTCCACCATTGGCTTTCTTCATCATGGACTCATCATTAGGATGCAATTGAGTCCAGCTCATGGTCAGTGTATTCAGTATATTTAAACTGTTGTGGTAACAAGCATCATGACCACAGTGGCCAGCATAATAATAAATATTAGAACGAAAGGTGGTACAGGAGTAGCCAATGACTCCTAATGGAGGAGTACCTCTTGTTAGGTGAGAGGACCAGCGAGCTGATGAAAAGGAAAATGTCTCAACTGTTGAGGTCAGTTTCCTCTTTTGAGGTGAATCGTGTACTTTAGGTAAATCAGGCTGGTCCCCTCCCCACAGGTAGAGCGAGTCTCCTATTACTGGAGCTGAGTGATTAGCCCTCCCTTTGAATTTATAAGTACCTGTAAAGGAAAGAAAACAAAATTAGGAAAAGAACACAAAGAGGAACTAACCTGACATTTTTAGCGATTTTCCAGCAAAACAGAGGCGAGGTCAAGCTAGTAGCGTCAGCCTCGGCGTCAGCTCCACCTAAAGAATGTCTAAAATTGGCATTGTCAACAAGATCATAAACTAAGCCTAATTCATAGATCTATGTATTTTTATAAGTAGACTAGAATGTACATTACATGCAAGGTTCTATTGATCTTCTAGCATAGCCTGTACATTGTCCCTCAGTTCCTGTGGGAGTCCCTCCAGCAGTTCCTCTTCATTTATATTGAGGTCCAAGTTCTGCACAACATTCATTCCATCACTTTGTTGAAGTACAATCATATCAGATGACTGAAGCCTCTTCAGTTGTGAGAGCCAACTGATCAAGAGGATCAGAATCAGGTTGAAGGAGAGAGAGTAAATCAGACATATTAAGAAGAGAAGGATCAATGGAGTCCACTCCTAGTTCATTATTTTGGACTACTTTGTGTGGAAATGAGGATTTACTGCTGGCAAGTATCAGAAGTAGTAGACTATGAATGTACATGTACGACATTATGTCTTGAATAGCCCAAGGCTGCCTTTCTATATCATTAGTAAGCCTTAGAGAATAAAGTAAAAAGATATTTTATTTCAGTTTAATCTACCAAAGAGCTTAAGCCAATATAATTATATTGGCTTATTATTATTTTATTGGTTTTATTGGTCTAGACATTCATTGAATAGAAACTTCTGTAATGTATATAGTCCACTTGCCTATAGTGCTATTATAGCTGTTTTTGTAAATGATAGAAAATGAATATTAAGATGTGCTTGCACTTTCTTTATTATTGCCTATAGTAATAGCGAGGTAGCTCCGTCTCGGTCCAAATTGAAGAGATTCCTGTCTACAAGGTAAGAGCTGTGAAGAACGAGAAGTGAAAATTGGTGACTACAT